GAGGAAGGGGACGGCCGTGAGAGGAGAGCAATCTGAGGGAGGTTGTAATCTGCAAAAGCGTCTTCTAGCGACAGCACTTGCGGGCCTGAGGACTGGCTACGGAGTAGCGCGGCACACCATTGGACTCCATATTCTCAAAGCTCTGCCCAGAATTTCATCTCCTCCATCTCCGGATCGGTAGCTGGTGCCATCGGAGTCCAGAGGACTAGAATACTAGCAGCCTTGCGAAGAGGGAGCTAGGAAGAAAACGTTTGCCCTGAGCGTACCATATAAATTCTTACAACCATTGTAAACTAAGTAAAAGGCAAGGCGCATCCTAGATCAATCAATGACGCTGAGCATTTGGTTTCTTTAATCTACGCAAAAATAGAGAGGTGTAAATTAAACATAATTAAGGTCGCTGGTCATTGAGTGGAAAGAGCATGCCTTACATATCAGCTGCTTTCAACCACTTGGAGCGCTTGAACGACGCCCAGAAGCCAATCCGGGTAAGTTATTTTTTGCAGACTAACGTAGAAACCTGTTTGAAAGTACCGTAATCAGATCGTGAATCACCACATTCTTTTCGAGCGTTTCATTCATTAGCCACGTCAGACTCGCCATAGCCTTATAAGTAGACATTACCCCTTACTCTTCGCGATCACGGCTGTTTTTGAACGGGTGGAGATTCGATTTCACATATTTGGTTAGCCTCCGGGATTCCATAGAAGACCCTTATTCTTCCCCGAGAAAAAAATTAATGCAGTTTTGATCGGAATGATAGCGTGATAATAGGTGAATGATAACGTGATGGTTGTCTGAAGCGATCTTAACCGAGAACTACAAAAACAAAAGCAGAACTCTAGCCAAAAATATGTCTTCAGATTTTGCCAACAGTTCTTATCGTGAAGGTTTTAGGACATCACTGAAGAGCCGATAAATGCACTAGGAATGGTTGGTTGGACACCATCTTCAGAACCAACGAAAGGTAGGCTCCTATTGATGCATGCCGGACACTGTCCACGGTAGTCTTATGGGCGGAGTTGATCACACCGCCGAGCCTTGCCTCATAAGCATAGTTCTCCCCTTCACAGTTCCAGAAAGAAAGGCGCAACAATGAGAAATGCGGTTGGCCTTACTCTTACTCCGCCCATGCCACCATGGTGGACTATGTTTTCAGTAGATCACCTTGTTTTCAAATCATATCCATGGCCTAAGGTAGAAGAAGATAGCATTTCAGTGCCAGAAAGGAAACCAGTGGCGACCTTTAAGATGCCTGTTGCCGTTGTGCTGGACGATGAAGTGCCGCCAAGTCCAAGAGAACCTATGCCACATCGCAGTGCTGGATACGGTAGGTGGAAAATGGTGTAGTGATGAGGAACCATTCTAAGGATTTTAGGTCCCGCTCATCAGAAACGCAAGCTGCAAATACCGGATCGTAGCCGCAGTACGTCGCCAATGCGTGCCGAGTCACCATTGCAGTCGTACGACAAATACGCAAAGTATGAACGGCATAGAACAGGTGATCAACATGACAACCAAACAAACGTTGAAATGCCTGGCTGGTGCGGTTTGATATGGCACCTGGCCGAAGAGAAATTCACACTCATACGGGTTGAGGAAACCATTTACTATATCGATTGATCCATTGGATAAACCATTTCTCTATCTGGAACAGCTGAAGTGGAACCAAAAATAGGAATCCTCCATCGGAATTCTCAAAATGGGGGTCCCGAGCAAAAGAAGTTACCCGCCCACCTCTGTTGACTCTCCCGTTGTTTTGCCCCCTCTTAAACGTCTGTCTGTCATAAGCCTTTTCAACACAGATTCCACAACTCGCTATGGAACACAGTGGAACGGATCTGGCTTCTCCTCCCCACAGAGAAGTACTACCGACGCGCGTCCACCACATCGAACACCTTCGTTAAGCCCAAGGATTCCTGTTCCCATAGACAGGTCTATTAAAGGCAAGGATAGCTCCATAAAGGTTCCAGATTTACTTCGCATGTAACGCAACACTAATAGGCGTGGAACCGATCGTTATTACAGGGCAGCGTTCATGGTCGGCGACACCTGCGATCGCGCGATTTGGTGATTAGCGATGGAGCGCAAGAAAGCGATTTCGCGACCAAATGAAGTACGCGCTCCACCGCCAATCGCTAAACAGCTCGATCGCTCATTCTTCTAACTGCAACCAGGTCACGTCGCAGCGTTGGGATCGCCATCGAGAGAGTCGTATTTAGTTCGTGGGAGGCCGTATTCCGTAAAATTGTTCCCCAAGCACACGCGGACGTTCACGTACCTAGTCGATTCCGCAAAGTGCAAGTTGTCGCGAACTATGAACACTGCCTAAAAGATGAACATCAATCAATAATTGATCGAGACTCGACTGCCGCGTTCGTGTCAGAAGCATGTTTGGGACCAGCACACCCCTCCCCCTGCACTCGCACCGTAAAGTCGCGATATTTCGCGAGTCTGATGTGTTCTCCCCGAACTAACTACTCAGGAGACAACTAATAAGGAGGGATCGTCTTTGGTTACTCTTTGGCTATCCTTTTTGTGGTCATCCTCGAATATTTTGAGTTACTCTTTTGTTACTCTGCTGGATAATAGTCGGATGTGCCGAGTTTTATTAGTCAGTTTCGTTGGTTTTCTTTTCCTACCAATAGGAAGTTTGCAGTCGACATTCAGGCATGGGTCGGTTGGGAGATCCACGTTGCGGCGTCGCTGAAATTGGTCCGTATTTCCTGGCTAGTTGACTTGACGCATAGATTAATTTTAGTTGAAATCGTTGCAATCATTCGGTGTCAGGAGGTAGGGAATAAGCTAATTTTCGGCCGCGTTTTCTACCGCTAGTGACGGTTCAGGAAGGAAATAGCAGTGGTAACCCCCTCGTGGACCCATTCCTTCTGACACCGCCCCGACTGATTGCGACGATATCAACTGTAAGTGACGCAATAGCAACGCTTTTGCCAGCGTGGGTATCCACAAGAGGCATCGACAGTGATCAAGGAAGACCAGTAAAATGCCCCCTCCAAGCTGCGCCGCATCCCATAGTGTAGAGTTATCGAACCTCCCTGCACCAAAGTTGTACCAAAAAAAAAACAATGGTACACAGAGTTCAGGCGGTACTGGGGGAGCGATGGGACAGTGGGTGAAAACGTCGTCGTTAATCGCTTGCGTAAGGGCTTATGGGGTTAATACGTGGCTGGCAACACACCGAGGTACCGCATGCCTCTGTGAACGCAAATACACTACGTAAACGTGCTGATGCCGGAGCAGTGGAGCGCCAGGCAACCAACGCAGTATTTACTCAAACATAGACTTCCGTCCCTGCGGGGGTGGAACAAAAGATGGTGAGTTACAGAGCTCGTCGAACACTGACGACTAAAGAGCACCGTGGACATTCAAAAGTCCATGGATTACTGTAACGCACTCAGAAGGTCAAAAGAGTTTATACTTTGCAAAAGCTGGCTGGCACGAGGCCCACCGGGAGGGGGGGGGAGAGTGGGGCTTTGCAGGGTCTCTATGAAATACGCTTTCGTCCTGTAAAAACACTTATGGCTAACGGAAATCAGGCTAAGAGCCCAAATCTCTCAGCGTTCCAAATCAACTGCAGTGCGGTGACTGCTGATTTTCTCTGAGCAGGGTACAGCATAGTTACGTGAAACACCTAAGGGATCGTACTTTCCGCTAGGGAGGGGGTCGTATTTGGCTGTTCGGAGAGGGGCAATCGTTTGTGCCTTCAAGTTTTCCCCCGGATGTTGAATTTTCGCGTGATTTTTACTGTTTCATGTGAGCTGTATACCCCCCCCCCCCCTCATCTTCCTCCTCTCCCCACCTCCCGCTTGGACAGCAAAATTTTTAGGGCAAAAGTAGGAAAATTGCGAGGGGAGGGGGGTCGGGCGAAAGGTTAGGGAGGAGGTGGAAAAAGGACACTTCGTTGACGCAGCGCTTCAGAAAAGCTGCGTCAACCTTTTACACCTAGGAAAGGTCGTGGATTCTAAACCTAGGAACGAGGAAATCCCCTGGGGCTGCTTTCTGGTCATCATATTTATTTATTTATTCATATGTCAAGGTACGTGACGTGTCTGGAGTTCTAGGGTCCGGCTGCAAACTGCGCCTGAAATGCTGTCAGTTCCCCCATTATGGACAAATGTCCCAGAACAGCATCCACGGTCAAGTGGGTTAAAATCACAGCAGGAACTTACTTGACTCACTACAAAACTTGTTGTTCACGAAGTAACACCTCATGAGTCCACCCCTGAATGGCGACTCCTCTAAAGGGCTTGCTTGGGTTGCTTTGATTCATCATAACAGGTGCTCTTCCTTACCTGGGAGATCTCTATGCACGAGCTTATTGATCCTTCTCAATTTCAGTGTACCCACAAAAGGAAGAATTGCATGTGATGACTCGTGAATCAAAAAAAGGCTCTGTCCCGTATAGAAGCGGAGGTTACGGTGCTTACCACGAGAAGCGTCAATACGATCTGTCACCACGATCGATTGGTTCGGCAGGATACAGTAGCGGCGGGTAAGTCCACGCTATCAGCGGTCCTCACTTAAAACAAAATCATGAAATTAACAAAATCATTATTTTACAGTTCCGAGCAGTCATCGCCATTATCGAGCTATGACAAGAACGCAGACGAGATTCTACTGATGGCCTATCATTCGAGGAAAACACTTGGCACGTCGCCAAGACGAGAACGCGACGCTTGGGTTCGTCACTAATGCACAGCCCACCCCTACTGAAAACGTTCCACTGCCCATATTGAATGGAAATGGTTCAAATTAGTGCTACCGCTACCTGCAGTCTACCGTATTTTTTTACGATTTGCTATGTTCTTTCGAATGTGATTGAGCATCGGAGCAAAATCGTATGTAAATATTTTTCTCCGAGAAGAAGACGCGTGTTGTCCGTATGACATACTAAGGTTTTCACTTCACAATTTATGCAAGAGAAAATAAATTTTTTCTGGCATTGACTTTATTGAGCTCTGACTTCTTAGGGAGCGCCATAGGGCAGCATTCACACTGGCCGTGGTTTAAAGAAACACCTGCTCCTGTTCAGAGTTTTCCTTTCTTAGGCAAAGCCCGCGATCATTCGCCATCACAGATAGTGGATCAGGGGTTTGGACATGAGGTTCTCGGTAATTTGATAGTGAAGAAAAAAAAAGCGAAAAAAAACATGCGAACTGGTCTAAATAAATCCCCATTCCGATCCCAGTTTGTAAGTGCCCATTACCTCCATGTTTAACGCTACGCCCTCGTCCGCATAGCTGTTCCCAGGATAAGACTCTAGGACAGTACAAGCGATGATTCTCAGCTTTTTCGTACTTTCGTTTTTCCACTGAGAGGCGGGCGGAGTCTGGAGGCGGAGTCACTGGAAAAAAGGAGGCGTCACTGAACCTATATTGCGCTATAGCGGCCCCTCCCTTATCATTTTTTGCCGCGAAACCGGTATCGGGGGAGGGGTGGTTCATCGCGGGCCACGCTACCCTCCTGACGCCATATTTTTAACTTCTATATCTGAGCGCGGACCGTACCTTAAGAAGGCATCCACAGTCGTACATTAGCGGTGTTTCGAATTGATTAATAGTGGTTCATGCAGGCATGCAAGTAAAGAGAGACCACAAGTGACACCCATTTGCTCGCGCGCCCTGCGAGCAAACATGGGTCAGGGCCACTGTGACCGCATACCCGGCGAGGGTACAGGAGTAGATGGCGCTGCCACGCAGTAGTTGCATATCCTGCGCGCTCGAAAGCAGGAACCTGACCATATGTGAGAATATTATTGCTCAATATGATTCCTCTAGATTTCCCCCTACGGTACGACCTCTCCCCAAACACTCATCATCGATACGATTCTTGTCACAGCCTACGACCATTTCACCCTTCAACAATTCAACCCAACCCCGACAAAATTGCCCCGTTGGAGCGCGCGGGGCAGGTAGCGACCCTCATACAGGGGTACAGTAGCCGTGGAGCGCAAAAAATTGACAAGAAAATGAAGAAGTGAAAAATTTTCTAGGCCAAATACGACCCCTTCCTTCCCTTCTAGCTACCACAGGGGATCCCAATGATGCGCTCCGTCTGTCCTCTGAAGCGGAACTCTAAGGGTCCTAGAAATTGTATGTTTGTAGTGCCGTGGCGCTTTCGAGTGGGAGTATGGAGCAACCTATCTTGCTGCAGACCGCAGACTTTAAATTCACTTCCTCCAACCGCTTGAAGGATCGGGTCTTCTTCGCCCTTCGTCGTCTGCACGGTGTTCTACAGCCAATGTGACTTCACACATTTCAGCTTTCCACGCATGATACTCACTCACTCCGGAGTCTTCTTCCCTTAGGAGTTTATCCTCTAGCCTGAGATATGTTTCTTGCACCTTTGAATGCTTGGCATAGTAGCTGTCCTCTAACTGCGGTTTTGGGCACATGTCAGCAGGCTAATGGGTAACTCGGCATTTTGTCGCGTCGTTCGAGTAGTCACGCAACCATCCTGTGAAAGGCTTCCACCCCTGAAACTTGTCGACCGGTTCCTGGCAGCTGCCGGACTTTGAGGAAAGCAGAAATAGCAAGAAAACTGCTCAGTAGTTGACACTTGTCCTACATACTGCAATGGAAGTTCTTTAACTTGGAACCACGCCCGAAGTCTCAGGGGACATCTCGTTCAACCTGATGAACTTCTTATTTGTCTGAAGGTGATCAAGCAAGGTGGGAGAGCGTAATATACACCGGTAAAGGGAACGTGGTGACAATCGTAGGGTGCAAACTGGTAACTGGTAAACTGGATAGTCCAGAATCCTCTAAATTGGCGTGGCTGATAAGGAATGAGATTAGGAATTAGCAAGCCGCTATCATTCATTTCCAACACCCAAGCTCCATTCCAGTCACCTAGTAGTGCAATCCAGACCTAACTACACCATTCACTTTAGCTGCGTCCGGCTACTACACCGCCTCTCCGTTAGTAGCTGCTGACACAGGCCGTCGCGACCACGCTACGGGTCGTTTG